TGTGTGTGTGCATGTTACAAAAATCAACCTTGCAATTTTAATCACGTTTGAAAATTGTCGTCAAACGCCACCGGAAACTGCCACTGGCATGATCTATGGTAGACTAGAAGTGATTAATTCTAAAAAAAAAAAAAAGAAAGAAAGAAAAGAAAAGACACGAAACAGAAACTCGGGACAACACAACGGCAAGAAGGAGCCTGTCACAAAAACGTGCGGGCTACACAAGCACTTACGCTCGTAACTTTGATGTGAAATCCATGAAGTCGGCAAGTTTGAGACCCCCTTTCACTGGGTTCAAGTTAGTGATCTGGTATGAGATATATTCCTCACATTCAATACCCCACATTATCAAGACTTAGTGGGTTAAGAATTTGAACTGAAATGATCGGAAATACGGTGAGCCGGATATAAAACGGCTTATTACAGTTGAAATTGAAATCGACACTCACCCCTAAACAGTCTGTGAAATCGGCGCCGACAAACCGGAAGTATGATGTGTTTAAACTTGTAGTTAATGGCTTCGTCTAGACTGCTGTGGTATGAGATTACAGTTTTCATCTGAGCGGTGGCTGGACTTTTATGGTCAGTGTCCCGACGCTGAGGAATCAGACTCTCGTCAATTATTGGGCACAGTATGGAGTTATTGGTGTCATCTGAAAGAAAGCCTCTTCATTTGCTTTGCATTTCATAGAAAAATACTCCTGCATCTTGAAGAGAAGTCGAGATATTTGCCATGTAAGAAGGTGGGGTTCGCCTGAGGTCTAAGGTAAAATTAGAGAAAAAAAATGGCCGTCAAAGTTTGATGACATCCAAGGTGTAATGACCTTGGAAAATGAAAATGCATATTTTAGTCCTCTTGTTCTACGTTTACGAGAAAAATGAAAACAAAAATGTGGCTTGAGATGGGTATAAAAAGCACTGAGCCAAAACAAAACAAAAGAAAACAAACAAACAAACAATCTAAGAAAAAGACGATAAACAAGCGGTAGTGAGCCAGTCTCTTCGATTTCAAGATTTTCACGAGCGCCTGGTATTCCCACGATGCCTCACGTTTGTCTCTGAGTTTTCTTTACTTTAAGTCCTGGGGAAATTGGGAATTGGAGAATTTGCTCTAATTCTCTTTTTACTGCAGTTCCGTCTATAGCTTTTAGAACTGTCATCTATGTCTCGAATTATGACTCTAGCTAGCGCTCGTGTGTTTGTGGGGAGTGTGTGTGTGTGTGTGTGTGTGTGTGTGTGTGAGTGTAAAAGACAAACACACACACGCGTATGTGTGTTTGTGTGCGTTTGTGTATGTATATGTGTGTGCATGCGTGTGTGTTTTGTTTGTTTGTGTGTATGTGTGTGTGTGTGTTTGTGTGTGTGAGTGTGTGCGTGTGGGCGAGTAAGACTGAGAGTGAGTGTTCGTATGTGTGCTTGTGTGCATGTGTATTTGTGTGCACGTGCACGTGTGTGTGTTTTGGTGTATGTGTGTGTGTGTGTGTGTGTGTGTCTTCGTGTGTGTATGTATGTGAGTATGTGTGTGTACCAAATTTCTTACTTATTTGCCTGTTTTCGCCAAACACTACAAACGATAACAACCCCGCCCTTTCCAAATTTGTATCATCCCCCTTTCCCCTTGCTCCTCGCCCCCCCCCCCTTTCACACACTCACACACACACACACACAAACACACACACACACACACATACACTCATACATACACACACACACACAGACATACACACACACATGCCCCCCTCCACACACACACACACATATTATCCACCCACACGTTTCTCTATAGTAGTCAATCCGACCACATAACGCACTCCAGGCTTCTTTTTTCTTCTTTTTCCCCCAGTAAGCACTTGACATAACAAGCCTTCATTTCGCGTGTTGAGCTTCCACGAGCACTTCTCATCTCCCTCGGGGGATCAGTTGTCAGATTCCGGCGCAGGAAAGCGACGCAAAACGACAGCCACTTACGACTCCATGACCTCGTGTCCCCGAGTGGCAGAATTCCCCAACTCCCAATTCTCATATCTTGGACGAAGAAAACGACAAAATCAGCCAAAAGCCATTAGAAAAATAGAAATATACTGTCGTTCCCAAATTTCCGACACGGAGAAAGAGAGGGAGAGAGAGACAGATAGAGAGAGAGAGGACGGGGAGGGAAAGAGAAAGAGATGGGGAACACCGAGAGAGAGAGAGAGAGAAAGAGAGAGAGAGAGAGGGAGAGAGGGAGAGAGACAGACAGACAGACAGACAGACAGACAGACAGACAGACAGACAGACAGACAGAGACAGAGAAACAGAGAGGGGAAAAGAGAGTGTGAAAGAGACAGAGAGAGACAGAGAGAGGCACTGCGACTGCAACTTCTGCACGCGAAAAAGAATTTCAGATTTCTTGAATTTTAATGACAAATTTTATTGTAGAATTTAGTCCTCTAAGTGTCATCCTTTTGCATTTTTAAAGGCGATAAAAAAAATAAAAATAAACAACCAATTTGTGCTCCCGACTTGTGCCTCTCTCTCTCTCTCTCTCTCTCTCTCTCTCTCTCTCTCTCTCTCTCTCTCTCTCTCTCTCTCTCTCTCTCTCTCTCTCCCCCTCTCTCTCTCTCCCCTTCCCTCCCTCAATGTCTCGTCCTCTCTGTTTCAATATCTATATCTGCCCGCCCATCTCTCTCCTCTCTAATTGTCTTTCTCGCTAGATGTCTATCTATTTATTTATCAACTGGTGTCTCTGTCGCTCTGTCACAATGTCACTTGGTCTCTCTCTCTCTCTCTCTCTCTCTCTCTCTCTCTCTCTCTCTCTCTCTCTCTCACTCACTCACTCACTCTCTCAGTGAGTGCCTCTGTCTCCCTGTCTCCATGTCACTTTCAGCGTCTCTCTCCTACCTCTAACACGACGTGCCAAAGATTTTAAAAGTCGAATAAATCATAAGATCGCTTCGATACATTACAAAAAATCGAGTCTGACGACTCCACTGCGACATACGGAAAGGTCGATATCTTGCGGTTTGGGTGGGAAAAGTTTCAGAAAGGGGAATACAAGAGGATGTTGGTGACGAGAAGGGGAATGGAAACTGTATGCCCTCTCTCCACTCGTGTGTGTGTGTGTGTGTGAGCGGGAGTGGGGACCGTTTGTCGCCTCCTCGTCACTCCGAACTGGTTCGTTTCCACAACTTTCTGTTGGAATCCTCGCATTGAACACACGCGCGCACGCGCTTTCTCGGTGCGGACGCGCTTGCTCAGTGCTCACGCCGACACCAGCACCGCTTTGACGAAAGGACACTAGGACTTCTGTTGATACAGGTATTGTTTTTACTTCTTTTTTGTGTGTTATTTAGTTCGGATTTTAATATTTTTAGGCGTCACATCGTGCATAGAAGAAATAAAACAGACGGACAGATTGAAACAACAAAGAGAATGAAAAGAAAACGGACACTAGGACTTCTGTTGATACAGGTATTGTCTCCACTACTTCTTTGAATGTTTCAGATTTTAATTTTTTTTAAAGCGTTGTATAGTGCACAGATGAAGTGAAACAGATATAAACAACAGAAGAAATGAAAAGAAAAAAGGCGCTAGTATTCCATATTATGATACAGATACTATTTCTACTACTTCTATTTTCACTAGTTCTTTGGTTGTTTTTTAAAGTTCGGATTCTAATAAAAGGGAAGGAAAAGAAAATGCGCCTCAATGCGATACCCGTGATATCAGGCGCAGAAGAGTAAAACGAACCGACATATTCAATAGAGGTTATGAAAAGAAGGACACTAAAACTTCTTTTGGCATAGGTATTATTTCACCTCTTCTTTGCTCGCTTTTTTTTTCAGTTCTTATTTCAAATCATTTTCTGCAAGAAGGTGACTGGTTGGCGTGAGATCTGATGTGGTTTGCCGTTGTTATTATTTTTATTCTATCAAACGTCTACCATCCTTGTCTCTCATCCTTTTCTCGGTATATTGCTGTCAGCCTGATTGCTGTCTAGTAGTAGCATTTCTAATCTTCGGCACCGATATGACCTATTTGTGTTGCAAGTTTAATAAGACTCTCACTAAAACAAAACTAAACTGCTGAAGAAAACGATTATGATCAAAAGCGAGCAACCTCTGTGATGATTGAGAAAACTAATGACAGAGGATGGGAGACAAAGGGTTGGGGTGGGTGGAAAGAGGGGATGGGTAGGGGGAGGACGATAAGTTGAACCTGCCGTACGCAGGACTCTATTATTGTCAAAGAGCAGAAGTTGTTAACGCGCTTTAGTTCGCCTTATAGTGGGTGCATCTTAAGATTTTATTGGGCGTTTTCGATTTAGCCGTGAAAAGAGCCTCTATGCAATACCGACCATATGGCACCTAGAAGGAGTAATGCAAACAGACAGAAACAACAGAGGAAATGAAAAGAAGAAGGGCTTATCAATGACGCAATCTAACTACCAAATTTAATGATTTTCTTTCTTTAGGTGTGAGCCTTTGGCGACAAACAACTATTATGTTTGTTTTACTTTATTATAATACTATTAATAGTTAAAGCAATTGATTCGCACGTGTGTTTTTTTCTATAATATTAAATTATCATAAAGTTAAGAATTTAAAAAAAATAAACAAGACTACTTACGATATTACGAGCCAATAGAGTTCTTCCTGCTTCACTAAATCAGAAAGAAAAAAACCCCCATTAACTCATGCTGCCAACCCCGTCGTTTTTTAGTTTTAGTTTATTTTTAGTCACTGTTCTACGGCACTTGCAACACAAATAGGTAGTGTAAGTGCCGGTCCCAGTAGCTGGCCATTCCTCTTACTTTGCCCCCTCAAGTAGGTTCTTGCTCTGCTCTTACAAACCGTTGGCCCATTCCCTGTTTTCGACTGTACGTTTCATTGTGTTTACAAACTTTGCCCTCTCCTACAGACTCTCAGACTTTTCCCCTTAGCCACGCAAATTGCTGGGTTAAGTCAGGAAAATCTAATTACCTACATGTAGCGATATTTTAAAAAACCGACATATAAATAATGTACAGAAATAAGGCCAGAAAATGAAGAGCGTACCAGATGCTTACATACTATTGCGTAAATAGTGTTCTATTAACCTTATACTTGGGTTGCATCGCAAAAAGTAGTCAATTGGAATTAACCTAGTGTGATATCACATGACGTATCCAAATATGAAAGGGGTGGGGACAGGGGAGTGATAGGGAATGGGAGGAGGGTGGTATAACACAAGACTTCGCTTATTCATATAGTCCAACCAGAGAGACCGACTCTGGGTCGACTTATGCAGCGTTAAACATTTAAAGCTAAATACTTTCTACATCACCTGACTTAACACACTGAAACACATATGTACATTACGTTACATGTACGGACACTCAAAGCACAAGAAGGAGCCATGTGTCCTACGTCGCGTAGTAGTGAAGGGGTTAAAATTGTTGAGTAACCTGCTACATGAAAACGTCTCATAGCTTTTTGTTATGTTTTACCTCTCTCGATTATGAAACCTATAAGCTGCCCGCGGGCCTTTAGCACAATAACCCAGAACTCATGGCTTAGTCTATCAGGAATAGCTCTAATTTACCACTACAGTCGCGACTTATTGTCGACAGTCTTATTTTGTCCTCACATCTTCCGAATCTAACCCACTAAATAAACATGAAATAAAGATTCGAATGTCGATTCCCATGTGGAGAGAATTTTTACCACTAATGTCTTTGTCTATCTGCTGGTGTAACGTATTCCTTTCAGCCTCAGTAAGTGTCTGTTCACTGTAAAATATTTTTTGTTCAGGAGTAAGACAGAAACTGTTCAATATTTTTAAATAATTAAACCCACACCATGCACGTCCTCTTGTTTTCCAAAACATTCAGAATTTGAATTTCTACCAAAATAAAAGGGTCCACGCAACCTACGCCATAGATTAGAAAATGGAAAAAAATATGATAAAAAGCCCCAACAAAATCTAATAATAATATAATAGTAATTAATATTTACGATGATGATAATAATAATAATAATAATAATAATAATAATAATAATTATAACAATAATAAAGATAATAAACATAATAATGATAATAACGACAAAACAATTAGGCATAGTACATCTAAACAGCTGGCCTACGATATGTAGTTTCGAGGATATAGCCCAAGCTCTAAAAATGAAATGAACTCCGACCAGAATCTTGGAAAATGTCTGTTGCTCTCCGAAAATTATTGCAAATACAAAAATCTCCAGAATTCGAGCCTTCAGCTTCTCATATTTTGGTTAAGTTCACAATTAATTGCGCCTCATCAGCCTATCATAAACGAGGGGGAAAAGAGAACATATTAATAAGCCTGTTCTTGAATACAGTAGTCTATTCCACTTGACAAGCCATACTCTAACCTATTTCTATCGCACTGCTGAGATGTAGATAATGATTGTAGAGGTGGAGTGGCCTCTTGACTTTTAATTATGTAGTTCATTCAGCGCTTCCACTTTTGTTCTTTCGAAATAGTTTCCCTACCCCCACCCCCCTCCACCCCCTTTTTTTTCAGTCTCGACCCAACCGTTCCTTAGAAAAAGATAACTTGTGATTTTTTACTTGAAAACAAAAGGCACAACCCCCCCCCCCCCCCAACAACAACAAGAAAATAACAAAAATTCAACATGCAAAACAGAACTCAAGTAAGAAAGCACAAAGCAAGATGGGAATATAATGTTTAAAAAGATACACAACCTTTTACCCCAAAAGAAGATAACAATAAAATAAAAACAATAACAACAAAAACACCGCAACAACCCCCACCTCCTCTCCCTCTCGGGAAAAAGATAAAGGTGAAGAGCCCCCAAGAGAAAAGATAAATGGTAGGCAATGCTTGTGAAAAGAGATCTATCTATCTATCTATCTATCTATCTATCTATCTATCTATCTATCTATCTATCTATCTATCTATATATATATATCTATCGATCTATCTATCTATCGATCTATCGATCGATCTATCTATCTATCTATCTATCTATCTATCTATCTATCGATCTATCTATCTATCTATCTATTTATCTATCTATCTGTCTATCTATCTATCTATCTACCTATTTATCTATCTATCTATCTATCTATCTATCTACCTATTTATCTATCTATCTGTCTATCTATCTATCTATCTATCTATCTATCTATCTATCTATCGATCGATCGATCTATATATCTATCTCTCTATCTATCTCTCTATCTATCTATCTATCTATCTATCTATCTATCTATCTATCTATCTATCTATCTTTCTATTTTTCTGATTGACAGATCATAATTCTTTTACTATTTGTTAGCTTAGACATTATATCTTAATGTAGAGATAAAATACGCGATTTCAGGATTATCCAAGAATTTACCTTCAATTGGACTTATACTGTATGGGTGGTTGGCGGGTGCTCTGGAGTGGGTTGCTCCTTCTTTCCTATCAAAGATCTATCGTTTTTTTCTCCCCTTCTTCTTTTTTATGTTTATTACTCTCTTGTAACACCTCTAATCTTCTGGCGTCCATGTGACCTTATGCGGTTGCAAGCGTCGTAAAACTACTGAAACTAAAAAGACTTTATGTCTTAGGACATTTCTTAAGCTTGGCAATTTGTGAGGGACCCTTATAGCATTACAGTCGAAAATGTCCTTGACGACCCCCCTCTGTCGAAGAGAAAAGTGGTTGTGATAGGCAGGTAGACGTTTTGGGCAGTATCATTCATCATCATCCGGTGCCTTGCCGACTGGCGTGGGCGATCATGGACCTCCACTTCACTCAGTCTTGCGTTGCAGCAATTGTGTCTGTTGTTCTTGTTGCTCCTAGCCATGTTGTCATCTTGTCCAGTATCTTTTCCCTCTGTCTGCCTCTGCCTCTCTTTCCATCAAACTTGCCTGTTGTTACAGGCAGTGTCATTACGATGTCGGAAAAAAAAACTCAAGAGGGAAGTTGGAAGTGGAACTTGTATAGGTGATTGTCTTGGACAAGTGGCAGTTAAGGCATCAGATTCGACTGTCATAGCAAGCCAACAATAATAATATCCTTGCGCTTTAATCATAGGCACTTGCACTTGTAGTGCTTGTTCTGAATACGAATTATGAAAGCTGTGTATCTAAATAATTGTACAAGAAAAATAAATCCATAACATAAAAATTGTATAATGATAGAAGGATTGGTATAAACAAGTCGTGATTATATAAAGACGTAAATACCGGTGCGTTTAACAGAAATTAATGACGTTTTTATAAGCAAATTTTCCATGGAGTGCAGCTTTATTTTCAAGTCGTTTCAAAGTAGGGCAGCTGTAAATGTT